CTCCTCCTCCTGCCCCTGGGGTCTCCTCCTCCTGCCCCTGAGGGCCGCCTCCTCCTTCCCCTGGGGGCCTCTTCCTCCTGCCCCTGGGGCCTCCTCTTCCTGCTCCTGGGGGCCACCTCCTCCTGCCCCTGTGAGCCTCCTCCTCCTGCCCCTGCAGCCTCCTCCTCCTGGGGCAGGGGCAGGAGGCTTAGCAGGAGGAGGAATCTGCCTGTGCACCACCTGGACGTGCCTGCCCACGGGGGTCACTGGCAAAAGCTCCCGCCATCTGCTGACACTGGGACATCTTCCCATGTGACAGAAATGGAAGATGCTTCCAGGCCAGACCTCCCCCAGGGGACTTGCGTTCCCAGGGCAGGGCCCCAGCTTTATATTCAAAAAGTGAGAGAGGAAACAGGCCTGGAGTGAAGGGTTCCCTCCACAGGGAGATGGCGTCAGGTGGTCGTCTCCACTGAGCCCAACAGCTGCTGTGTCCCAGGCAGGACTGAAGGTGGCCACCCCAGCAGGCCCTGGACGCCAGGGACTCCAGCAGCACCATAGGCCCTGGGCGTGAGGGAACCCAGCAGCCCCAGCTCCATGCGTGCCAGGTCCTGCTCCCACCCTGGTGCAGGTCCCCAGGGTTAGCTAAGAAGGTCATGGCTCTTGCGCCCCACTCAAACCTGAGCCCTCTGTGTCCTGGACATGATGGGGGGCTGTGCACAGTCCTCCCCCGGATGTCACTCTAAGGACGGCCTCTTCCTTCAACGTCACGTGTCAGGAGCAGGAATCCTTGCGGAACGTCTGAAGACCTGTGTCACGTGTGACTTCAAAACTCATGACCCTCACAGTCACCCTGCCTTGCCCCGCACTGAAACACATCATGGTGCGTGCTCTAATCTGCAGCTTCCTCGGGCTGGGCTGGACACAGATCTCTGTGCAGACGCTGCTGCCGGGAATGCACACAAAAGGACCTGCCAGTCAGTGGGAACATGGTGGGGGCAGCACCTCCCACCCAGAAAGGAAGCCCAGGTGTGTGAGGACCAGGGGTTCTCAGCTGTGTCCCCCAGGGGACTCGGGGCCTGTCTGGGGGACACGGTTGGGTTGTCGCACCTGGGGACTCCTGCATGCTGCAGGCAGAGGCCAGGGCCACCCAGTGCCCCCATCATCCAGGGTGCCCAGCACAGCGGTGCCTGGCCCTGAATGCCTGCAGCGCCAATGTAAGAAACTCGGCACAGTCCCTGTAGTGATGCCGGATTATCGGGGTCTGTTTCACCCGTGGCCATGGGACAGAGCTTCCTGACACAGAAGGCGGTTGTGCCAGCAATGGAAATGGGACAGGCAGGCAGAGGCCGCGGTCCCGCTCACCCTCCCCCCCCACAGGCAGACGCCGCGGTCCCGCTCACCCCCCTACCCTCCAGCAGATAAAGGCTACTTTCCCGTTCCCATTCACCACCCCCTATGGCGGGAGTCAGAGGCCACTGTCCCGCTCACCAACCCTATGACATCTCCACGTCTGCAGGTAAAATGGGGTTGGGTTTTGGCAAATCCATATGGCTCCCCCTAAATAGCCTGTTTGTGCCCACAGGACATCCACCAGCAGGCAGATGCCGGAGCCTCCACCTCTACAACGGGGAGCCGCCCAGGCCTACGCAGGCCAGTCCCAGGGTCAGAAGAGCCGCGTGCCGGCAGAGCATGGTGGCGGCTCCCCAGGGACACCTGGCGCAGTCCCCAGCCGTACCTGTGGTGGGCTGGCGCCCCAACGGCAGGATTGTCACCGCCCCCCCACCTCCTGTCCCCTAAACCAGAGGGCGAGGCAGCTGCAGGGCCTCCTCCTCTCCGACCCCAGCCCCGTGCCGTCCACCCCACTGCCTGCCACCAGCACGTGCAACTCCAGCAGGCGACGCTGGCCCTACCTGAAGGGGCAGAGGGTAGGATGAGCAGGTTGGGACGGCCTCGGGCGTCGGGCGGAAGCCTGCGAAGGCCAGAATCTGCTGGGCAGGGTTGTAGAGGGTCTGCGGAGGAACTCCAGGGCCATAGGCCATCTGGGACAGAGGCACCTGCTGCGGAGAGACGGGAGGTCAGCATGCACCCCCCATGGAAGGAGGGGCTGTGCAGCCTTCCTAGAAAGCCCAGCACCCCTGACCCCCGACTCTCAGGCTGGAGCTGACCGCACCCCGGCGTGCGTTTACACTCAGGCTGAGTTACACTCAGGCTGAGTTACGCTCAGGCAAGGTCAGCTCCAGCCTGGACACCCCAGCGTGGGAGGCGAGCGTGGCACCTGCACCAGACACGCATTTCTGTGTCCTGTCTACAATCTGGCTGTGGTTCCTCCTAGGACAGCCAGTGAGAGGAAAGGCTGAGCCGTTGGGCAGAAGCCTTTGCCAGGAGACTGCGTGACCCCAGCAGACCCTTCCCGACCCCAGACTGCCACTCCCTGCTGTCACTGCAGAGCAAGGACCCCTGGGAGGGCACCTGTCTTGTGTTGGTGTGCAGGAATCTGGGGCCCAAGGTGAGGCCTGGGGGGACCACTGGGGCAGGAGCCAGAGGGCTGGACCTCAGGATGCCAGGGTCACTCAGCTTCGCCAGTTTTGTCTGGAAGCGGGAAAGTGCTAAGCAAAGAAAAGGCTGAGGAGCAGATCGCAGGAGGGCTCCAGGCCGAGTTACTTCCTAGTAATGGACAGCCTCTGGGATGGCTGGGGCGTGGAGAGGCTGCTCGGGAGTGTTTGCTGCCTCGCTGGGCAGGGTCTGGCCTGCAGGACCTTCGTCTGCCTGCTGCTGCCCAGGCTCCTTGCGTGGGTGCAAGAGGGGTGCCCCTCATCCCTGGCCTGCCGTTTGCATGTTCTGGGGCCTCGGGCTCCCTCACGCCTGGCTGCCCCCCTCACAGCTTCTCTGCAGGCTCGGGGGTTGGGATTTGCTGGCAGGATGCCACAAGAACATCTCATTTGAAATGGGTGCCAGGGGAGGGCAGAGGAGGGAGAAGGAAGAGGGCGGTGGGCCCAGGCCAGCGATGTCCCTGTGGTTTCCTAGGCAAGGGCCGGCCTCTCAAGGACGGATCCAGCCCAGCTCCTGTGAGGGGCCCTGTTCCTCCCTCCTCCTGCCCAGGCTGTGTGGGTCTTGCCTCTAGGGTTTGTGAAGACACTGGCTTCAGCCCCACCCTGGACCTGCGCATCTGAAGCCCCAGGCAGCTGCTAGACAGGAATTTAGGGCAGGAGGGCTGGGCCTCCCTCTTGGAAGCTAAACTTTGTTTCTTGGGGACGGGTTGTGCCCACCTTAGTGGAGAGGCAAGGATTAAATCAGGTGATTTTTGTGGGACAGGACGGGCCCGTGGTGAGCTGGTATGCACCCACTGTCGCCCTGACACCCTGCTCCACTGGCAGACACACAGGCCTCAGCGGCCCATCTGTAAAGTGAGGGCCAGGGACCCCCCAGCCCACCCTGGGAGACGGGCCCAGAGCCCTGGCCCCTGGCGAGCAGCAGGGGTCACACCAAGAGGCCTCACCATGTCCTTGAAGGCCCCCAGGACAGCGGCGGTGATGATGCCCAGGAACAGGCCCAGGATGTTCAGGACCGCAGAGGCCCAGAGCAGGCGGTACAGGTGCAGGACGTCCTGGCAGCTGCGGACACCGACGAACTCGTAGTAGGCAGGTGAGGGCTCTGCGCTGCAAAGAGAAGGCACCACAGCGTCCCCACAGCGTCACCACTCGAGCAAGTGACCGCCACAAGTTATACTTGTGGCCGGGTGACCTCTCGACTGAGCCCTGCAGGGCCGGGGGAGGAAGTCAAGGCTGGAGCCTAGTGAATACCTGTCCCTGCGCTGCTCTGGGGGACAAACCTATGTGTGATGGGATTGGTCCGTGAGGCCCCCACCTGCGGCCCACAGTGGGCAAAGAGCGGCAACCGGGCCGGTAGCCCATCCTCTGCTCGATGGCCCACAGGACGGGTGTCTGGGCCCCAGCTGAGCCACCTCTGTCTTCACAGCAGGATGGAAGGCCGTCAGGGTCACGAGCCCCTGTCCTGAGATGGGGCCCAGAGGCTGGGCCAGGTTTAAACTCTTGCCCAACACACGGGCTGTGTCCTCTAGGGCAGATCTACCTCCAGAGCCTCTGTCTTCTTAGCTGTGAAATGTACACAATTTCCTTTCCTCACATAAACATCTAGGAGCAAAGGAGATGATGTGGGTGCAGGGCTGTGGGGGTGATGTTGGGAGGGGAAGCTGGGGTCTCACCCCTGCAGTCGCCTTGTAGGGTCTGGCCCTGCAGACACCGTGTGGGGGTCTCACCCCTGCAGGCACCATGTGTGGGGGTCTCACCCCTGCAGGCACCTCGTGGGGGTCTCATCCCTGCAGCCACCGTGTGGTGGTCTCATCCCTGCAGCCACCGTGTGTGGGGGTCTCACCCCTGCAGGTACCTCGTGGGGGCCTCATCCCTGCAGCCACCGTGTGGGGGTCTCACCCCTGCAGGCACCTCGTGGGGGCCTCATCCCTGCAGCCACCGTGTGGGG